GGCGATCAAGCAATATTGCAGAAAGATATGTTGATGACGCCATCTCAAATAAAATAGAGATAACCAATAAAATTGTAAACTCAGTAGACTCCTCATCTAACCAACAAGAAAAGCATTCGACATCATCAGCAAATATTTCAACAGTTACTGAGAATTTGGTAAAAAATAGAGAGACACCTGGAGACTTCAAAATTGCTCAAATTTTACCATAAATTATAATTTCAAATAAAAAATGTGTCTCTTTTGTATCAAATAATGTTAAATTTAATTAAATTAAATTAAGTGTTAAATTAAGTTAATTAAAAGTTAAATTTATAATTTATAATATTAATAAAAATGGTTACAAATTATTTCAAATAAGTTTCTTAATTTTAATTCTTAAAATCGTGATCGTAGAAAAAGTATTGTGTGCAACATGTGCGCAAAGTACTTTTCCCACTCGTTGCACAAACTACTATTATTGCCAACTAAAAAATATTTATTTTTAATTGATAATTTATTTAATTTTATCTATATAAAATGCAGGTAGGTATGTCCAAATTCGAAAAGATTTGTTGAATGGTGAAATTTAAAGAGTACAATTTTTTGTCAATTTTTTTTTTGAATTAAACCTAAATATGGTTTTAAGAGCAAAATAAAACACAGTTAACAGATTTTTTTTTATTGTTATAATACAAGCATAAAGGGAGATTTAATAATGTACATGACATTGCCTGATCCTTTAATTTAGGCTTTCTCCTTTTAATTTTGCTAACAGTATCATCAATAAAAATAGTCTCATACTAGTTAGAAATATCTTCTAAAAAGTGTAGAACAGTATCATCTCTAGAAAGTGTTTTATCGGCCCTAGAAACGATATATATGCTGCCACTATTCTAAGCGTTTAGGATCCTATTAAAAACATTTACAATGACAAAACTGGGGTTCAACAAAAAAATAACAGTAATAATTTTAATTTAATATTAAAGCTCCATAAAAAACAAACTTTCTTTTCTAGGGAGTTAAATTGATTGTATAATTATTGCTGTTTGTAAGTCAAGATCAATGACTGTAAAATAATAGTAATAATTTTAATTTAATATTAAAACTCCATAAAAAACAAATTTTCTTTTTTAGTGAGTTAAATTTATTGTATAATTATTGCTGTTTGTAAGTCAAGATCAATGACTGTAAAATTTTATTTTATAGAAACTTGTAATAAAATAAACTACACTTATGATACGTGTTGTGACTAGTTTACAATACAAATTATATTTAGACATAAATATTTTTTTTACTTACATTAGAAGCTTTAAAAAGACATTGAATTGTTTTTTTTTTTCTTATGTTTTCTTTAGTTTTATATGTGATTTTCAAACCTGTTCTACAATCTGTAACGAAGTAAATCTTGCTTTACTGTTTTTTCTCACTCTTGTTACTTGTTCAAATTATTTTGATTCTTTTCACCAATTTTTTAAAAAATCAGTTCATTTTGCATTGACTTATATAGAAAATGAACTGCAGTGACGTTCGACCTGCCAATTTAGCGAATTTTTTATAAAGAAGGACAGAAATTTGATCTTTGATCATTGCCGATTCGCCTTCTTCTATCTCAGTGGCGTACTTAGGGGGGGGGGCAAAGGGGGCAATTCCCCCCTAGAAAAGCCAGGAAAAATTATGTTTTATTTTGTCATGAAAAATTGAAAAAATTGCCCCCCTAGAAAACCAATAAAAAATTATATTTTATTTTATCATGAAAAAATACATTAATTTATTAATAAAATATAATTAAAGTATTTTTAGTAATTTTAGTAGGTAATATATTGAAGTTTGACTTTTTTTTTGTTTTTTCAAGAATTATTTGTTTTTGTTACTTTAGAATAATTTATTTTTTTGCTTGAACCCTTGTGCCTGTTTCGCTATATGTTTTTTTTTGTTTTGTTTGTGTAGTTTTTAAATTAATAAAAGAAAAATGTTTCGGTGAGCTCAGGACCGGAGCGAGCGGAGGGGAGAATTTTGGAAAAAAAAAGCGTTTTTTTTTGAGATCTTAACGACTTTTGGCAAGAGGGTGACGAAGCCGTGATTTTTTAACGATTTTAAGACTCCTGAGTAAAAATTGGGCGTGGCAAACCCAAAATTTTCTGCCTCCGGCGGCCCCTGCGCGGGGGCTGTGCTTGACCTTTACCATATTGCCCCCCCCCCCCCCCCCCAGCAATGAATCCTGGGTACGCCACTGTAATCTATCTAATCTTTATAGTTATGCCCAAGTATTGAAATATTCAACAAAGCTTTAATTCTGATATTATTCATTTTGATAATAATTAGTTTGCTAAATTTAATTATATTAATTAAGCTTTTTAATCTTGATAAATCTGAAGTATTTTCATTACATAAAACAAGACAATCCTAATTCTAGACATTAATAGAAATTTATAGATAGTAAATTAAAAATTAGTTTAATCGCTGGAAAAATAATGAATCACAAACAATAAAAATCATGTGTTGTAAGAAGATTTTCGGTTTCCACGTTTTATTACTTTCCTATCTGTATACAGATATAAGGAAAGTATAGGAATCATGATTTTTTTCGACCTCGAGTTTTCGACGGATTTTTACGTTTTGAGGTCCCCTGAATCCGTTTTAACTATTTTCGCGATGATGTCTGTCTGTCTGTCTGTGTGTGTGTGTGTGTGTGTGTGTCTGTGTGTGTGTGTGTGTGTCTGTATAACGCATAACTCATGAACCGATACACAAAAAAACACCAAATTTTAAACTTAAGCTTTGTTTCAGCGTCCAATGAGCTGATTAGATTTTGGGCAGAGTCGGAACATCTGGGGGGGTACTTTATAGGTGGTCATTTTTATATTTTATGGAATATATCTGTTATTTAAGTTTGGGGAAGAAAATTTTTTAAATAAAAGTTACTTCTTATTTTATTATCTATAATTTTTGTCATTTACAAAATTTTCCTAAAATGGTATTCGAGACATTTGACAAAATGTAAAAAAATATTTTTTTTTATAAAAATTGTTCAAACAAAAGTTGTTTGTAATATAATTCTCTATAATTTTTGTCCCATAGATAATTTCTCTAAAATGGACCGTATTCGAGATATTTGAGAAAATGTGTAAATTTCGAAATTTGAAGAAAACTCAAAAACGGATAAAGAAAAAATCAATAAATTTTAAACTTAAGTTTTATTTCGGCCTGACGTGAAATGATTAGATTTTGGACAAAGTCGGAACATCTGGGGGGGTACTTTATGGGAGGCCGTTTATATATTTTATGGAATATATCTGTTATTTATGTTTGGACAAGAAAATTGTTCAAATAAAAGTTACTTCTAATATTATTATCTATAATTTTTGCCTTATGTAAAAATTTCCTGAAATGGTCCGTATTCGAGAAATTTGACAAAATGTGCAAAATTCTGATTTTTATGAAAATTGATGAAATAAAAGTTGTTTGCGATATCGATCTCTATAATATTTGTTCATACATGATTTTTTTTAAATGGACCGTAATGGAAAAATTGTAGGAAAAGTGCTAAATTTAAATTTTTCAGTATTTTCATTTTCAATGAATATCTATAGAAAAATGTTTCGCGGTAGATGTATGTGGACAATGTATATATATTTAGTTTATCCTCTAAACATTTATAGAGATGCTGCAATAGGTTGTACACAATAAACGGAAAAAGCCTGTAATAACTAGATAGGAAAGTCATGTGTTGGACACATCAGATTTTTTTTTAGAATGATCAATTATTTGGATAAACACAATATTGTAACAGAATGTCAAAATGATCTCTACACTGGAGGTCTACAGAAGGGGCTGTATATGAATTTTTTGAATTTATCTTTAAAAATCTTACAAGAAAACTGTTGGAACGCTCTTCTTTGCCCTTACTAAGACTTTTGTACCTTAAACTTAGATTTTGTTGATTTGGGATTTCGTAGTAGTATGTTGATTTGGTTGATATCATATGTAAGATATAAAAAAATAATTGTTAAAATAAATCAAACTCAATCAAATGAAGCAGTTGTTAATCTGGGAGTTCCTCAGGGCTCTATACTTCGGGAACTTATTTTTTTATTGTTATTAATGGCTTACCACAATTTATGGATGCAAACTATAAGGTTATATATGCTGATGATGTTTCCTTCGCAACTTATGGTAATTTTCCTGAAGAACTAGCAGATAAATTAAATCAACTCTACAATAGATATAAGAAATGGTTTTTGAACAACCATTTAATTCTTAACCATCGGAAAACAGTATTAATAAAATTTCCCATTTCAAATGACTCTAACAAATCTTTTAAAATACATACAGAAAATCTTACTATGACATCCTCTGAGACAACAAAATTTCTTGGCATTATTCTTGACTCATTTCTTTCCTTTCAGGCATGTACTGATCACATTTTTAAGAAAGTATGTAGCAGTTATTGTGCAATTTTCAAATTGGAAATATATTTTCACAACAACTAATAAATATCTTCTATGCAATGATATACTCACATTTGTCTTATAATGTTATATTATGGGGAAACACTAGATTTCCTACAAAATTGATTATTTTAGGAAAAAAAGTAATACGTCTTATTCTCAGGATTCATAAGCGTACCTCTTGTAGAGATTACTTTAAACAATATAAAATATTAACTCTTCCCTGTATTTACATCAATAAAAATATTCTATTCGTTAGAAAAAACTGACAGACTTCATTAAAAGTGCTGATAATCATAACTATTAAAATAGACATAATATCTGCTACGTATACCCCCTCACCGGACAGCGAAATCTCTCAAAGATCTCGTGTCACAATACGCATTTTATAATATAGCTGAATTTTTGGATAGTAACTTTTAGTACTTTTTATTTATCTTCGTATTTTGTTTTAAAATTGTTGTACTGTACACACACCTATATACCCCTCTTATTGGACCTCCTGTTATTTTGTATTTATTAAAAGAATATTAAAACAAATCTAATAAGTAAATATATTATTTTATTAAATTACTAATTCGTCATCATTCAACAATCCAAAAAAATTATATCTAGTAGTATAAACCATGAGCGCCAACTAGGCTAGGTACATGTCTGCTGGTAGCGATGGTGCCAGATGGTCCAGCTATAACGGTATCAACTGAATTGTGTCCAACAAGACCACCAGCTACAACTGGGGAAGAATAAGCAGACACTACTGGATGAGAGTAAGCGGATACAACTGGAGCAGAGTAAGCAGAAACAACTGGGTGAGAGTAGCTGGACACAACAGGTGATGAGTAAGCTGAGTAAGCAGACACTACTGGGTGAGAGTAGGCTGAGTATCCGGGATATGCAGCACCGTAGGTAGACACAACAGCTGGTCCCTGAACTATGGTTCCTGAGGGAGCAGCGTAGGTGGCGGCCAAAGCGGCGAAGAAAGCTACGAAGGCCTGTTGAAAATAAAAAATTATATTATTAGTTTATTAATGAAAAATTATTTTTGATTTAAGTTTTCCTAATTTTATTAAATAAAAAGTCAATGATGTTATATTTTAAAAAAAGTGTAATAGTATATTACACACCGAGGTGGGAAGAGTTTCATTCCTGTCGTGAGGTTAGTTATGATCTCGAGACAGGAATGAAACTTCCTACCGAGGTTTGTATACTATTTTATTGAAAACCATCATATTTCGATGAAACTTAATAAATCTCTGTTTTGTTCTGAACATACCTAAAATATTACATTTAACGACAAATTACCAAGCGCGCGGTTTTCTCAGAATAATCAAGTAGGTAAATATATTGTTACTGTGATTATGGGGTAAACAACTGTCACCAATATAAATAAATGTCAGATAAAGCCGGATATTAAATTCGCGAATAATAATTATCAATAAGTAGTTTGTTATATTTTAGATCATTGTTGTTTTTTATTGTTTGCCATTAAATAGTTGTCAAACACCATTACATATATGGTTGTAAATAAAATACAATTACATAGTGAGTCTAGACTTTTCTATTGATAAAGTTCCTTTGGTCAATTCAGTTTTGTAATTAAAGTTTTTTTAGTTGAGTAGAATTTAGGAACCACTTAATCTAAATAACATTTCAACTTAAATCTTATTTTTTCTAATTTTAGTTATTGGATGGCGAAAATTTTAAAGTTAGATTATGTTGACAGTTCTTTATTTTTAACCTAGAAAAAATGTTAGAATTCGTCTATTTTCTAATCTATGATTTATTTTGTATAGCTTTTTTTTAAAGAATTTGTTATAAACTTTTCAGAGCACTTAAAAATGAATAAAATATTAAAAGTCGCTCAATAAAGTTCACCTTAAGCACATACAATATTTCTACACAGATAAGGAGAAACACTATTTAATTATGGTTTCTGTTATTAAAAATGTGTGCGCATGTCTAGATGTCAAAATAAAGACGACATTAATACTGCTTAAACTTTAGACCACGTTCAATAACTCTATTTTCTCTGTCTAACAGATATTAAATAAGAAATACAAGGTGTTCCTAAACATCTTGTTATAATTGAAGGACGCATATTATGACTTAAAATTCATATAAATATGTGTCCCAAATTGCTTTGTTTCGAAGATTCAGGATGTTCATATTTTCAAAAATAATAAGTTCTTCAATAATATCATAAATACTCTTTTGTCGATTTTGATGAAATTTGGTACATATTTTTCTGATTCTATGGAAATACTATAATCTGTTTGCATGGCCCACTTGACATTTTGTTCATTTTAAGATTTTGTGCAGGCCCTAAATTCCCATTGTCGAATATGTGATTAGTAGAGCTAGGAATATATGCAAAACGCCATATTTTGCATATGTTGCATATATTGACATTTTATTAATTTTTTGGCATATATCTGACGTACTAATTGGCTGGACATATTAAAATTATGAGTTTTGGACCAAAATAATATTGTGTGAAATGCCTTTACAGGTCGATTTCCTAAAATTTTGAAGGATTAACTTTTCCCTGTAATAAATTACGGTTAATGGTGTAGGTACTTGAGATGATTAAATTATAAACATAAACACCCTCTTTAAACCAACAAATTTTGCTAAATATCCTTTTAGGTAGTTGTATTAATATCTTCAAATTTCTTAATGACTCAGTTCACTTTCAACTCCACTTCAGTCTTTATTGTTGTGTTGTGTTAACCAGTGGGAAAAATGGCAAAATGAATTGAGTCGTGGGTAAAATCCTATTCAGATTTTGTTGTAGAAGGTGATAACCAGGTGTTTTGTTAAACTTGTTCTAAAATTGTAAGTACTTTTTTATTTTATATTTTATTTTGATCTTTCACAATGGTAAATCAAACAACAGTAAAATAATATTTTAACTCACAGTTAAAAAAAAGTAGGGCAACTTTACAACGTACGCAATTTATTTAATTTAATTAAAACTTTAACATCTACAGGAATTTATTTGTTTTAGATTCCATGTAAAAAAAAAGTTTCATATCGACCAACACGCGAAAACACCCTCACATATAGCAAAGCAGAAATCTAAAGACATTCGCAGACAAAGTCAACTTCCCTTGAAACAATATTTAGAATCTGGATCGTCTAGAAGTGAACAAGCTATTTTTAATGAAGATTTATGCAAAGCTTTAGTGACTTCGAATATCCCTTTAATACGATTAAATAATCCAAATATCCGATCATTTTTGCAAAAATACTGTAAATTTAATATTCCAGAGCAAAGTATATTACGCAAACGTGGTGTTGACAGTTTGTACATTGAGACTCGTGAAAAAATTCGTAAGATTACCGTTGGAAACAATTTCTACATTATTGTGGATGAAACAACAGACTCTTGTGGTCGATATATAGCCCATTTAATGATAGGTTCATTACGCGAAGAAATGCAAATTGGTCCATATCTAATCGCTTCAAAACAATTAGATAAAACAAATAACTTGACAATAACTCGTTTTATCCAGACAGAATTGTCTTCCTCTTTTCTTCCGGAAGCCGTTCCAACAGAAAAATGTTTATTACTGTTATCCGATGCTACCCCGTACATGGTAAAAGCCGCACAAAATTTAAAAATGTTTTATGAAAACTTAGTCCATGTTACATGTTTGGCTCATGGCCTCAACAGAGTTGCAGAAGAAATTAGGTCTAACTTTCCTTTAATAAATGATTTAATTAGTGAAGTAAAAAAAATATTTCTTGAAGCTCCTCTAAGAACTCAATTGTACAAAGAAAAATTTCCTGAATTACAGATGCCACCGGAACCTGTGATTACTCGGTGGGGTACCTGGCTTAAAGCTGCCTTTTTTTACGCAGATAATTATGAAAAAATTGAAGAAATCATATTTGATTTTGATGATTCATCTAAGGGAATATCTAATACAAAGAAGTTGTTTCAAAATCACATATTACCAAAGCAATTAGTGTTTTTAAAAAATTATGCATTTGTACCCAAAATTATATTAGATTTAGAACAAAAAAATTTACCTTTGGTGACTTCCGTAAATTTAATTAAGACGTTTGAATCAAAGTGTAAAAATGTCCAGGGCGATATTGGAAAGACGATTTTTCATAAATTTTCAAATGTAATTTTAAAAAATGAAGGATTTATTGTTTTAAGAAACCTTGCTAATATTTATTCTGGTAACTTTGAAGATATTAATACTATTCATCCAGATATTTCAGGAAAATTTAAGTTTGCACCTACTACTTCTGTAGATATCGAAAGAAGTTTTTCTTTGTAGAAGTACATACTTACTGATAGGAGAAAATCATTTAATACAGATAATTTAGAAAAACATCGAATTGTTCATTTGTTTTATAATAATGTTGATTTGTAAATAAAATTAGTTAATAATTAAATAATTATTAAGTATTATATTAGGTATTGTAAAATAAAACAAATAATAAATATTAATAAACTATTTCGATCAAATAACAAATTACTCTTATTGCATATGCTCTGCATATTTTTCAATATTTTACGCATATATTGAAGTATTTTGCGGCATATATAGGCGCATATTTAACTACTTTTTGGGTGCATATATTCCTAGGTCTAGTGATTACCAATATGAAGCGAACGTATAACAAAAATGACTTTTTTATAGAGATTATCAGAAAATTTAAAGTCATAATATTTTTTGGACCGAATACCCATTATTGACGTGCAATCAAAGTTTTTTTATCGCAATAAAAACACAAAAAATAGAAAAAGTTTAAGAAAAAAAGATGTGTTTTTGATTGGCAAATTTAAAAAAGAAAAGAAAAAGTATGAAAAAGTCAGTGGGTACTTTTTTTCAAAAATATCATTTAAGTTGCCTTTGGGGACGCCACTGGAATTAATAATTTAAATTTAACTTGGCCAAAATTAGTCTCTTACTACAACAATTAAATCTGCCAAGTTTCATAAAAATCGGTCAAAGAGTGTTAATGATATGAATGAAAAGTTGATTAAAAATTTGAACACTCTGTATCTTTGAAACAAAGCAATTTAGGACAAATGTATATATAAACTTTTAGTCACAAATTTTTCCAACTAATTATTACTTCCTTCAACTATGACATGATGTTTACGAACACCCTATATAGTCTGGTAGTACTCCATTTCTAAAGTCTATTTTTTTAATTTTTAGCAAAACAAAAAAATGTGCGAGTAGGTAGAGGTTCAATTTGTATTCTTCTGGTTCCAATTTATTATGTAAAAATCGCAAAATTTAGATTTTCTCATTTTTAAGTAATTATTTTTTCTATGAGTCTGTATGAAACTTCATCTTTTAATAGAAGGATATTTCCAGTGAAAATGTAAGATCCATCGTCAGTGGATTAATATACCATAACTCAAACTTTCATTCCTAATGACGAAAGTGACTTTTTTATTTGCTATTTGTAGTTTCTTTCAAAAGTCATGTACTATGTCCCAGTGGCGGGCGCTGTCGTGTAACCTGTCAAATTCAAAATAATGTGTCTTATCTATGGATTTTTCGTTTTTTGCTTGCAATGAAATAATTTACTTGTTGACGTCTATAACAATAACAAAATACCTTTGAAACATTTTTGGCCATCCGATTCATATATTTACATCGAAAGTAGCAAAACCAGACAACAAAAAATGTTTGCAATAGTAATTTGTGCAACAAGAGTGGATATGATGGCCATATCGCACGAAGACAAAATTTTATCACGACGCCGTAGGTGGAGTGCTCAATCGTCAGAGTGCGATGTGGACAATCCACTCGAGTTGTACAGTATATTTTTTCTACGACCCACTAACAAAAATTTACAAATACAAAAAATTATTTTAGGTAATTAAGACAAAATAACTAATTTTAAAACAATTTATGACTTTTGGTAATTTTTTAAATAATATAAACAAAAAAAAAATCTGATGTGTCCAACAGGTGACTTTCCTATTTAGTTATTATAGGCTTTTTCCGGTTATTTTCTACAACCTATTGCAGCATCTCTTTAAATGTTTAGAGGATGAACTAAAAATATACATTGTCCACATAAATCTACCTCGAAACATTTTTCCATAGATATTCATTGAAAATGAAAATATTGAAAAATTTAAATTTAGCACTTTTGTTAAATTTCTCGAATACGGACCATTTCAGAAAATTTTGACATAAAGCAAAAATTATAATATTAAATAATATTAGAAGAAACTTTTATTTGAACAATTTTCTTCTCCAAACATAAATTACAGATATATTCCATAAAATATAAAAACGGCTTCCCATAAAGTACCCCCTAGATTTTCCGACTTTGTCCAAAATCTAATTATTTCACGTCAGGCCGAAATAAACCTTATGTTTAAAATTTTATATTTTTTTCTTTATACGTTTTTAAGTTTTCTTCAAAATTCGAAATTTACACATATTCTCAAATATCTCGAATACGGTCTATTTTAGAGAAATTATGTATAGAATAAAAATAGAGAATTATATTACATTTTTTTTACATTTTGTCAAATTTCTCGAGTACGGACCATTTTAGGAAAATTTTGCATAAAACAAAAATTATAGATAATTATATTAAAACTAACTTTTATTAAAAGAATTTTCTTCTATAAACGTAAATAACAGATATATTCCATAAAATATAAAAATGACCATTTATAAAGTACCCCCCCAGATGTTCCGACTCTGCCCAAAATCTAATTAGTTCATTAGACGCTAAAATTAAGCTTAAGTTTAAAATTTGGTGTTTTTCTGTGTATCGGTTCATGAGTTATGCGACATACAGACACACATACAGACACACACACATAGACATCATCGCGAAAATAGTCAAAACGATTCAGGGGATCTCAAAACATAAAAATCCGTCGAAAACTCAAGGTCGAAAAAAATCATGATTCCTATACTTTCCTTATATCTGTATACAGATAGAAAAGTAAAAAGAAAAAAATTTATTTAATTTTTCATCATCCGAGAACATAACTCGACCCTTTCGTGTGAAAAGCAAGAACCCTAAACGCAGGATCATCTATTCTTTTATTTTTGTTCCTTTAATACTCGTAATTAAATTGACTTCATATAGTTTTATTTAAATTAACAAATTATTTATAATAATTTCATAATTATAATAAAAACAGAAATGCTATTATTTATTGATTCTACTCAAGAATAAATCGTTTTAATGTATATTTAACTAAAAAATATACTGACAATTAGTTTGACAGAATTGTCACTCATTCAAAATTTTAAAAATAATATCATTTGGTTGATTAAAATATGAACAGTGATAGATGGATTTCATTTTTTTGCAGTGTTCTCACTACCCAAAATGGATATGAAATATATTCGTTCAGTTGAAGAAAATAGCATACTTTTTCGTTTTGTAATCTGTGCGTAGATAAATTAATATCCATGTGGGTGTAGAAAAATGTATTTTTTTTAATGTTATAGACAACTAGAAGCGTATTATTTCATTGCCAGCATAAAATTAAAAATCTATCAATAAGAAAGCTTACTTTGAATTTTACAGGCTACACGACAGCTCCCACCACCGGGACATAGTAAATGTTATTTAGCACCCTCACTATACCCAACTACAAATTTAATAGTAAGCAAAAAACAAGACGTGCCACTATTATAAAAATATATTTTATAACAACCTGTATAACAAAAATTAGACATGTATGAAGTTGAGACACTTTCGTTAAATATAGCAATTCCTACACACATTCAAAATTCACGAAAGACTCACTTTTGTATTTAAAAAGTTCTGACTTTTTTAACAATATAAAAATATTCCCATTTTAGTTTTAACTATTTTTATGATTGAAGAATTAAACAATATAAGATTTTTAAAAATATTGAAACTGTAGATTTTTTTAATACATTTTCTGGTATCTAGTTCTATTAGAATAAAATAAATTGGATCAGATCAGAACAATTTCTTTTATTATTAAAAATAATCAAAGTAGATCATTATTGTAACTTAAGTATCACTGATAAATTCTTAAAAAAAATATAATTTACATTACTTACCAAGCAGTTCATGATGTATGTAGGAATGGTTTGGTTCTTGTTGAATGTTCAACTGTTGGTCCCTGCAAACTACGATTTTATATATACCTACCTAGAACCAGAGTACTACGCGTAGAGACCTTGGTTCGCCCAAAATCTTGAAACTATCGAAAATAAAAAAATTGTTGGGTTATAAAAAAAAATGGAATTTATCCGCCTCTGTGGAAGATATTATCGTAAACTTGTTTTTTTTTTAGCAGGTTCGTTATAATCAAAGTTTAAGTGTCTTTTTTTATTGGGGGTTTTGAACTAATAAAAATTCCAAATTTTAGAATTAATTTTCTTAATTCGGGTTCAATAATTCTGCGATTTTATTAAGTTAGTTTCTTTAAAAACATGGTGTTTGGTTTTTCGCCTATAGTTTGTAAACTATAAATATTTTTGGATTTTTCAAAAAAGATCCTTAAAGAGGAGAAAATTTGCTATAAATAAGTTTTGACTCCCGGAACTGTACCTACATTATTTATAATTTTAATTTAACACACGGCGTCAAAACCGAGTACGTTACATAAAATAATTTTTTTAAGTTAATAAAATTAAATTCAAAAATTTAAAAAAATTACGGTGTATTCTAAACACTTAGAAGAATTCATTCCCGTTGGAATTTTTCATAAAAATTAATTTTCCAACAAAGTAGGTTATTGTTAATTAACAAAATTTTTAGAATTTCTCTCATCATTACAAATTGATAAAAATATTAAATAATTACCGTAATTTTTTTTTGCTTCGTGGAGCTCTTTTTATATACATATAAAACAAAATAGCTTCATAAAAGTTTAAAAAATGTTAATACATTGTTTATAATAATTTTTTAAAGCTTACAAAAACAGAAAAGTCACAGTGGTGCTATAAAAAATTTTTTTTTTCAATTTATTTTAATATTACTATTTTAATGTCGAGAAAAGACATTTATTAATTAAAAAAATTTTTTTTCTCCATTTGTTTATAAATTATTTAGTATGGAGTATGGAATATTCGTCTATGGGGGTGCAATTGGGGTTAAAATTAAAAAAAAGAAGCCACAAATGGCATCTTACACCTTTCAGCTTGGGATATGTTATGTAGTCTGCTATTTTCTTTATCTCTGATACCATGCTGGAGTTTGTTGAGCCGTCTGAAGGGCTGCACTTAAGGGTGAAATTTAAAAAATCATAGAAATCACAAATGGCATTGTACACCTTACAGCGGGGGGGATATGTTATGTAATTTGCTATTGTTATCATCCCTGATTCCATAGTGGAGTTTGTCGAGCCGTCTGAGGGGGTGCAATTGGTGGTGAAATTTAACAAAATATAAAATCCGCAACTGGTTTTAAACACCTTTCTGCTTGGGATATGTTATGTAGTTTGCTCTTTTCTTCATCCCTGATACCATGCTGGAGTTTGTCGAGCCACCTGAAAGGAAGCATTTGGGGGTGAATTTAAAAAAAAATCATAGAAGCTACAAATGGCTTTGTACTTCTTTCTGCTTGAGATATGATATGTAGTTTGCTCTTTTCTTCAACCCTGATAGCATGCTGGAATTTGTGGAGCCGTCTGAGGGGGTGCAATTAAGGGTGAAATTTAAAAAAAAATCATAGAAGCCACAAATGGCGTTGTACACCTTTCTGCTTGGGTTGACTTTGATTATAATATTAAAAAAATAAAAAAGAGCTTTGAAAAGGAAATACCTTGTTTGTGTCTTTCTACTTTTCAAAAGTATGTAAAGTTTTTTTTTTTGATAAATTTATAGTTTTTTACTTTTTTGATTTTCTTTTATGAAACCACCTATTTTTGTTTTCATCTCTTAATTAAACATGTTTTAAGATTAACATTTAAATAGTAATTTTTAAGATCCAAATTTAGTCAGAAAACAATTCTGTTTATAACCCCTCATTTTATTATTATTTAACAATATTTGTTTTTAAAATTCCAAACATTATGCTGTGGAAATAAAAAATATCACATCCGGAAAAATCGAAGTGAATCTGAGCTAAAATAATAGAAATATGGACACTATGTTCTTATATAAGTATTCCGAAATTCAAAATTATATCTTTGAAATTATGAAGGGTATTTTGTGTACCCTTATCTCGATATTATCACTCGGTATATAGCTTTTACATACTATAACTATAATAAAGAGGAAAAAATGACCAACAATATGATTTAATCTCTGATTAAAACAATATTTAATCAGATAAATATGAAATTATGTTTTCAAAATCATTTTATCCAGTATAACAGGAAAAATATAAGAGATTAATTTTTTGACACATTTGCTTCGGAACTAGGACCATAGAGAAGAATTATAATCAGTTTTTTGTGTTTATAAATTGTCTGGTATCAGGGATGAAGAAAAGAGCAAACTACATAACATATCCCAAGCAGAAAGGTGTACAAAGCCATTTGTGGCTTCTATGATTTTTTTTATATTTCACCCCAATTTACACCCCCTCAGATGGAGCAAAAGTTAATTGCGGTTATGGTTGTTATGTATTTAAACCTCTTCAATTGAAATATGGAAATGAAAAGCGTACCAAGTTATATGACTATTACAATGGAGCTGTATTTTTCTTAGTGTACATGTGTGTAATTTTTTTTGCTTCGTGGAGCTCTTTTTATATACATATAAAACAAAATAGCTTCATAAAAGTTTAAAAAATGTTAATACATTGTTTATAATAATTTTTTAAAGCTTACAAAAACAGAAAAGTCACAGTGGTGCTATAAAAAATTTTTTTTATCAATTTATTATAATATTACTATTTTAATGTCGAGAAAAACATTTATTAATTAAAAAAAATTTTTTTTCTCCATTTGTTTATAAATTTTTTAGTATGGAGTATGTCAACTATGATTTTTAAAAAAAAAATTTTTCTTACTAATAACTTTTAATTGTTTATAATCGTTTTTTTAATATATTTATTGTCTAAATTATTAGTTAAGAAATGTGTTTTTTTTTAAATCATAATGGGCCATGTTCACATGTGAGATATGCTGTTTTATAAATTATATTGTAATAGTTAGTCGCTATACAAGTTATTCTAAATAGTCAGTTCGTTAAAAAAGCCAAAAGTTTTTAAATTAAGCCCAATTGAAATTTAAAATTTGAAATTATACGTCATCGGGAATAGACCAATCATCTTGTGTCGAAGTTTTTTTTGTTATACAAAACCAAGCCAACGAACAAACCGACACACAGAATGTCGAAGTGAACGCACATCTAAGTGACATTAAAATTGACAGCACCTAACCTTAGTTTTTTGTTTTGGTCAGGGCTGGTATCCAGCCCTGGTTTTGGTTTAATTTTATTATTAATATGAATCAGCTGGATTTATAAAAGTTGAATCAAGTGTTTTACCCATTGTAAACGAAAATATGATTACCGAGATGATTACTGCATTTTTTAACAATACTCAGTTTACAAAAGTTAGAAAGGTAAGACTTTGTTTTAATAGTAGGTAGTTACAGTTTATATGGAGCAAGTAAAACGTATTTATCTCAGGTTTTATTTTTAGATCTGCCAAGCAAGAATATGGGGATAATTTCTTTTTCCATAAGAGACAAGGAGACAAATTACACCTAAACATAAAGTACGGCAAAAACCTTCTGATGTTGTTGTTGTAATTAACAAAAATGAAAATTTTAGTGCACAATATGCTGCATGTCAAGGTTTGTAATATTTATTATGCTTTTTTGTTTTTATATTACATATAATAAACAGTGTATAAGGCCCTTTATTACTATAAATATTTTTTTTCTAATTTTGACATATAGACATTTTTTGTAATCGCAGCAAGTGTTAAAATAATCTAGAAACAGATTTTGTTAGTGAACCTAGTAATAATTATGATACCAAAGAATAGGCTATTTTTATACCCTTTTCAAAAATTTTATGCTCCTCGTTTTTTGCAAAACTTAAAATGCTCTATAGCTTCGAACGAAGTCAGCAAAGCACCTCTGTTTTATAAAGTTTTTTCTGTAAAAACAGCAACTTGAAATATTATATTTTTAAAAATACATGGTGCTTGCTAACCTTCGAAAGAAGCCAGCAGAGCAATTCGGTTTTTTTAAAGCTTTTTTCAAAAACCACACCCCATTTTTAGAATATTTTTAGACTCTTGAAATATTGTAAAACTACTAAAAAAATTGCTATTTTTAAATAATACAGGGTGCTTTGTTGGAACAAAGTCAGCAGGACACTTCAGTTTTTTAATTTGTTTTTTTTTATATATATATATAAAAACAACTACTTGTGACACATGTTTAGGCTGTTTTAAAATCCTAAAAATGTGGTAAGTACATTTGTTTTTAGAAGTCAGCAAGGAATTGCGAATCTTTTTTAAAATGCCAAATTTCGAATATTTTATAATATTGTAGGAGCCAAAAAACGTGGTGTGGTTTAAAAAAAAACTGGGGTGCTCTGCTGGATTCGTTTGAAGCTAACAAAGCATCCCGTAATTTTTTATTTTATAATACTCAATAGCCTAAAATGAGACATAGCTGTTTAAACAAAAAATTGTATTTTTAAAAATAGCAGTTTTTTTTGAAAAGCTCTATAATATTTCAAAAATGTGAAAATGTGGTGAGGTTGTTTTTTTTTAAGTTTTGAAAATCCGAGGTTCTTTACTGGATTCGTTCAGAGCTAGTAAAGCTCTACTCGTCTTGTTACATAAAATAAAGGAATTTTGTAGCTGGTTATATAGTTATTTTGTAACTGCATATCTAACCCTTTTATTTTTTTCAGTTGGTTGTAAATATGTGGCTTCATAGAAGAAGTGAGGAACCATCTGTAACATCTACTCAGTGTTATTGGAAAGGCTCTAATTTATCAAAATGCGTAAATATTGATGTACACTTGGCTAGATTGTTAAAGAAACCTCTTCATCCACTACAGGAAAATATATCAGTACTTTTATATTCTTAGGATTTGCATATATTTTTTATTTGTAAATACATTGTTTTTTTACTTCATTTTTCTCATTTTTTATTAAAAGGTTAATAAATAAAATTTTCACAGATTTTT